CATATACACCAAGTATCAAAGCATTCAGGATTATAGTAGAAAAAGTAAAACATTGAAACCTACGACGGACAGCGGCGGACAATCACTCATATGATAAGCTCTGCTCGACAAAGTCGACAAAGAAATAAATGAAATGATACAAGTTTGAAAAACATATCTTTTTAGTTAGCATGTTATTTCAACTAATCCATAATTTCGCTAAGATTTCACTAATTTAAAACATATTTTTGTAATGTCATTTTATCAGAAAGCATCTTAGAATATGAATTATAGAATACCGGTATGAAAAAGTTTTGCTAAGACCAGAAAAAGTAAAGACAGATATTGAACGCCAAGAATGTGTAATACATCTATAAAAAACAAAGTAGAGATTGGTAAGGTGATATACATTTGTTTAGTATTGCTGTATGATAGTGAGACCTGAACAACAAAGAAATGATCAAACAGTTAACCAACAAAATTGGATTTTGATATGTGAAAGAAAAGAAAGTAAACAGCTACCATAATAAAATTATCAAACACAGACAACTGAGGTTTCAAAATCAGATTTTGAGAGAGAACATAGCAATAGTTAGAAGGTAAAAGATCAAAGGGAAGTAAAATCTTGATGCAACTGTGAGAGAAGATAAAAAAGCAAGCTCATCCATATCACTCAGGATCGTGCTTGATCCAGGATAATGGTTGCCAACATCAGAATCTAATTTGGTACTTGAAAAAGAAAAAGTACAAATTGAGAGCATAATATAAATATTACATTAATTATATTAAAATAGTTATTAGAAGTAGTCTGAATGTTAATATATTATTGAACAAATATGTATACTAGTAACATGTACTAATGTCAGACTTTTATACATATTGGAATATATAAATTATAATCATTCTCAGTATATACATATTAATAGTTCAATGTCAATTATAGAATACCAAGGTTATATTATTAGCTTGAGGACAAACCATTGATTACTTCAATTTGAATCAATATTAATACTGCATTAGATGGCATGCGATAATCTGCAAAGACTCAGACTGTTAGTACATGCATTGTTAGTACATAATTAATTGTAAGCACATTTCTACAACATGTATTAGTAACTATGCTCTGAATTCTAACTCAATATACTATTCTACTCTAAAGACTTCATGCAAGTCAGTATAAAGCAATGCTGTGATACAAAGTATTAATCCAGTGCAGACATTAGATATGACATAGGCAGAAATACTGTAAACTGACTAATTTTCACTGGGTTTAAATTTCGCTAATTTACCATTTCAGGCATGATCAGTGGGTTTTAAATTCACGGTTTTATCATTTAGATAATGTGTTCTATGCTCAATTTTACATATTCACTGGGTTTTAATTTAGCACATTTTCCAGTCAGCGAAATAAGCAAAATTAAAACCCAGTGAATAATAAATCCTTTTACAGTACTCATCTGAATATACACATGTACAATACACATGTATGTATACTACTCACAGTAGCATAACTATTAAATGGATAGCAAGCATTTCCATACACAATATGCTTGTATCTGTACAAATGTCATGAATTGCAGTGCACTGCAATATGAATCATGTTGAAGAATTGTAACTTTCATCTAGGATTGAATATTTTACATCATCAAATTTGAATGTCTTAACCAAAGCATCATCCACTTTACTGAGAGGCAGACATTGAAAATTCAATTCGAGCATTGCATCGTGTTGTATTGTATTGTCTGTCAAACTAATTGGAGGACATAGAATACCGGGGTAGCACTTGTGAAATGTGAAACCAAACAATTTAAATGTCTTACTTGTATGTATGTCCATTGTTGATGGTTCACTCTCAGATCCAGTGGTGTTGATATCTCCACTGACTGCAGTAACTGTGATGTTTTCTAACTTTCCTGCAGTCCCATACCCAGTACATTTAGCACTGTAAGTGACTGTATCATTAACATAATCTACAGTTGCTTCTTCTGCTGTACCACCAGATGAACACTGCACCGTGTAGGTATTTACTATATCCCCAGAATAACTACTCCATGTTACAGCTATTGTATCATTGGTGATCTGAGTTTCATCTCTAGCAAGCGTAACACTTTTGGGTTCTGAACAAATGAAATAAAACAGAAACATTATTATTCAAACCGAAGTATTGATGTTCAGTTCTTAGCTAAATAATATTACTTTAAATTTATTGACATTATTCACTTTGAAATGAACATGGTAAAATAAAAATTGGTAGAAAGAATAATTTTAAAACTACTGAAAAAAAAAACAAAAAAAAATGCATTAAGCATAAAATGCATCACACATATTACTTAAAATATATGTTTGCAATAAATACTTGCCCAGAAATATTAATGTATAAGTTTTAGTACTGCTCATATTATAATAAAATTTGTCCTTGTCGCTTATTGTTGTTGTATGTTTTCATGTTTTTGACAATTAAGAATATTGAGTAATTCATCATCAATATATTATAAAACACAATCTTACTTGTGTGTATCGCCAATTTTGATGGTTCACTTTCTGATTGACTGGGCTTAGATGTACCACTCACTGCAGTAACCGTGATGTTTTCTAACTTTCCTGCTGTCCCATACCCAGTACATTTAGCACTGTAAGTGACAGTGTTATCATAAATTATCATAGCTTGACCTGGTGTACCACCATCTGAGCATTCTACTGTATAGTATGATACCTCATCTCCAGCATTACTATTCCATATTACAGCTATTGTATCATTGGTGATCTGACTATCATTTCTAGCAAGAACAACACTGTTCGGTTCTGAACAAATGAAATAAAACAAAAACATTATTATTCAAACCAGCCTGTTGATGTTCAATTGTTTGGGAAATAATGATATAGCCCCTAATATAAAACACTATGAAGCTGTATGTTAACAGAAACGCTAGTCTGAAACACCAAGTCTGGTTGTGGGATAGTGCAAGCGTGGATTTGTCACTCGAATGGAAAGTTCTCCAAGATTGATAAAGTTAATTTACATGTAATCTGGTATTTAAGTTGGTGTTAATCCATGAAGTGAATACTCAATGTGAGTAGAATGATCTTTAATTGAATTACCGTACTTCCCCGATTATAAGCCCAGGGGCCTGAACATGTAAAATCGGAAAAATAAGGGGTGGGCTTATACTTGAGGAGCACCTCAGAAAAAAATAATTTGTTGGTGCGTTTAAAACTATGACCATCTTCCCAATCTTGAAATATTATCCAATTACATTTTCGTTCACAGCGCCGGTTTCGAAGAAATGTTATGTCTTTTTGAGGGAAAAAATGCAAAACAAGTCGTCATTGATTTCAGGACACTTTTTACAATGAAGAAACAAACATGTTCATAAAAATAAACATTTTATTACAATACGGTTTACATGCCATCTAAATTTACGGTGCAAAAATGAGTAGGGTATGTGGGAAAACGGTCAAAGGCAAGATCATACATAAACTCAGATACAAAGCTATTTCC